TGAGCAAACTATGAGAAAAAAAAAAAGGAAACAGCATAAAGTATGTCTGCATGAAGGGAAAACAGCTCCTCTACCGTGGAGAAATGCCTGGGAGACGCCACTCTTAACCAAGTGGCCAAAGATAATACACAGCCATGTCTTAGCACTTCTGTAGCATTCTTGCCTGAAATGTGTATCTTCAGTCTAATAATGGGAAGACAGCAGACAAGTCCCCCGCAAGGAACGTTCTGGAAAACAGCAGCTCAAGAGTGGTCCAGTGACAGGCCAAGACCAAAGTGCCAGCCCAGGCTGCAGGAGACTACAGAGAAGCTGGGTGGGATTCTGAATGGAGCCCCCACCTCGAAGCAGCACTGCAGTGGGACCCCAAGGGCAGCAATAAGAAGAGGCATGGACCCCAGCCAGGAAAGGCCCCTCCTGGGAGTTGAGGTGCCCTTGGCAGTCAGGGAGGGCTATACCCCACTCTAAACCATGGCATGGTCCCTGTGATTACACAAATGCTGGCTGCAGGACCAGCACACTCCAGCAGCCCTGCCAGCTCCTGGGATTGCCCTTGACCCTGGCCTGCTGCTTTCCCGATGGCCCAGGGTCTCCTGCAGCCATCTGTGTCTACTCAGCATGCTGGAGGAGACTTGTGCTCTTCTGCTGGTTTCCTCTGGGACAAAACCAGCATAGCTCCCTCCCACCCCACCAGCCCTGCCCCAGGATTCCTGCAAATTTCCCTTTAGTCTGACTCTGATTCCAGGCCTGTGATGGAAGTAGTCCTCAGACCAGGAAATGCCAGGCACAGACAGGCAAGGGGCTAAGTATGGATCAGCACTCCCTGGGGCTCCTGCGGAGGGGAGATGGATACAGGCGAGGCAGGAGTGTCCTCTGTCCGGCATCCACGGTGCAGCGCTTCCAGCCTCAATCCCGGGGCAGTGCTCCCTTCCTGGATCATCACCACCCCTGGGGGAGTTTCCTGCAGAGCAGGGAATGTGCCTGTCAGCGGGGGGTGTGCACTTTCTCTTCCCACGGCTGTTTCTCACTTGTCAGGGAGCCAAACGCCATGTTCGTAGCTACACAGCAGGCTCCCAGTGCTGATTCACAGTGTACCAGGGCAGACACGGGCAGCCCAGGCAAACGTCCAGTTTTCTCCCCACCTGCGAAGGGACTTTTCAGGTCTTGGGTCCTAGGGGAGGCACCTGCCTGGATCAGTTCCTTCAGGGCTTCAGCCTGGCTCAGCTCTGGCTCTTGCAGTCATTTGGGATGTGAAGCAGCAGATGGAAGATTTCTGCCATTCTTTTCTCTCTCTCTAACTCTGCTTTTCAAATAAATAAGAAGAAGAAGAAGAAGAAGAGAAAATCCAGTTGGTATTCAGACTGGGGCTTCCAAGGGAATGAGCTCCAGTTCTTCCCGCTCCTTTTTGCTCCCTCATCTTCCCTTTTGCACCCAGGGTTTCCTGGGAGCGAGATGCCTTCCAGGGTTCTGTCACCCAGAGTTAGCCCAGTTTGCTAGGAACCTGGCAAAGAACATTCTCTGAGTGAGTGTGAGCTGGGAGACATGGACCACCTGTAAAGCTATGGGAGTGTGAGCAGGGTTCCGTACTGTAAAATGCCACACGGTTGCATTCCTTTCTGCAGGTGGTTTCTTTTCCTCGGCTCTCTCTCTCTCTCTCTCTCTCTCTCTCTCTGTCTCACATGCACACACATACACACACACACACGCACACACACCTAAGGCACCCAGCCCCAGGCCCCTCCCTTTCCGTTACCTGGATGCAATGCTCACCCAGCGTAAATAAACACACAGATGTCTCTATCTCCTGGATGTTGGCGCCCGCAGTCTCAGGTCAGACAGAGTGGCAGGGAGCTCGTGGGCCAGGATCTGGCCCGCAGATGGCCTAGGTCCTGAAAAAGAGAGAGCGAGAAAAAAAAAAAAAAAGCCAGATTGGGCCTCTCCGAAGCTGGACTCCTCAAACTGCAAATCGGCTTAACATTGCATGATTTAGAAAAACAAGCAAAACCAGCACAGTGTCAGAATGCATCACCTATAAGAGGGATGAATATGGCTTTGTCAAAACCTTGGTTGTGATGTCAAATGTGTGTTTCCGAGGGCTGGAGTTTTGTTGGGGGGGCGGGGGGTGGAGTGGAAAAACAAGCCGCAGTATGGGCTCCCGGCCTGCAGGGCCAGGGCACCTGGCTCGCCCAGACAGCCGGCCACAAGCCCGGGCAGCACGCCGCCGGGCTCCCGGGCCGGCCCCCCGCCCATGCCCCGCTCGGCCCCGGGCCGGCCCCCCGCCCATGCCCCGCTCGGCCCGGCGCGGCGCGGTCACGGGCGCTGACTCACCGCTGACTCAGCGCCGGGCGCGCAGCCAGCAGACGGCCAGCAGCGGGGCGCCGGGCTGGGCCGCTGGGAGCGCGGCCAGCGCAGGCAGAGGCGGAGGAAGGGCTCCGGAGCCGGGATGGAGACTGGGGCAGGGGTCCCCTGCGGGAGGGCGCCCCTGCTCCCACCCCAGCGCTCGGCCTCCCGCCTCGCCCAGGACTTGGAAAGGGCAGGTGCCAGGTTGGCGCTCCTAGGCACACTCTGACTCTCAGACTGCAGCCAAGGCTGAAGGCGGTGGGGCCTGCCTCCTCCAGAAAGTCTTCCAGCAGGGCCTCTCCCTAAGGCTGCGTTAAGGCCGGCGCCTGGGGCACTGCCGCCCTGGCACCTTGAACTTTGCTCTCCGCTTCCGGTCTGCCTTCACCGCTAGACACCCAGGACACAGTCATAGCAGCGGGGTGGAGGTGGGGGGAGTAATGCAACACGCTGGAGATTGCTGTGTACACATTTTTATTACTTTACAGTTTTTATTTGTGTGAGTGACAGAAAGGGCATCCATTGAAAGTCCACACCAAACAGGAACTCAGTCACTGGAGGAATGAGGGCTGCCTTTCTGGAGTCAGCAGGAAGCATGAATCAAGAGCTGGAACTCCCGGGAGGCGAACCCGGAGACCTCACATGTGGAGTGCTGGCATTTGTTTTTAAAGATACATTTACTTTAATCAGAAAGTCAAAATTGCAGAGAGAGAGAGAGAGAGAGGATGAGACAGAGAAAGGTTGTTTTGTTTAATGGTTCACTCCCAGTTCAATGCCAGAACTGGGCTGGTCTGAAGTGGAGAGCCAGGAGTTTCTTCCACGTCTCCCCCATAGGTGCAGGGCCCATAGGACTTGAGTCATCCTGCTCTGCCTTCCCAGGCCATAATAGAAAGCTGGCTGGGAAATGGAGCAGCTGGGACACAAACTGGCACCCCTATGGGATGCTGGCACCAATAGGCAGAGGATTAGCCTGCAATGGCATTGTGCTGGCTCCAGTGATGCTGATACCCCTTTGTTGTTTTAATGCAGAGATATAAAAGGCGTTTTACTTGAAATTGTGCATTGTGACTACATGTATTAAAATAGGAAATATTCAGGTGGGCATTGTGGCACAGGGGGTTAAGCTATCACTTGGGACCCCCACACTCCATATCTCAGTAACTGGTTCAAGTCCCAGCTGCACCACCCTACGAACAACTTCCTGTTAATATTCACCCTGGAAGGCAGTAGATGATGGCCCACGTGTTCGCATTCTTGCCACCCGCATGGGAGACACAGGTGGGATTTCTGTCTCCGGAATCGTGGCTCCTGGCCTGTCCTGGTTGTTGCAGGAAGCTAGGAAATGATGCAGGGGCTGAGAAGCCAGGAGCCAGGAACCTCCTCTGGATACCCATGTCGGTGTAGGATCTCACAGCTTAGGGCTGCCCTTCTTTGCTTTCCTAGGCTGTAAGCAGGGAGTTGGATTGAGAGTAGAGTAGCTGGGACATGAACCAGCGCCCTTGTGCCATGTCAGCACCCGTTGGCAGAGAATTAGCCAATTGAACCATTGCGCCCCCTGCAGGAAAACTGCTTAAGATTCTTTTTTCTCTCTTTCTTTCTTAAAGATTTATTTTATTTTTCTTGGAAAGGCACTTGAACACAAGGGAGATACAGAGAGGAAGATCTTCCATCTGCTGTTCACTCCCAGGTATCCGCAACGGCCAGAGCTGAGCTGATCCAAAGCCAGGAGCCAGGAGTTTCTTCCCCGGGTCTCCCACATGAGCGTAGAGTCCCAAGGCTTTGGGCCGTCCTCGACTGCTTTCCAGGGCCACAGGCAGGGAGCTAGATGGGAAGCGGGACCGTCAGGATTAGAACTAGAGCCCATGTAAGATGCCGGCAGGTGCAAGGCGAGGACTTCAGCCATTTGGCTACTGCACCGGGCCCTCTGATTCTTTCTTTAACCGAGTGATCAAACTGAAAACAGTCCAAGGGAAAACTCTCACTCTGCAGCTCTGTCCCTCAGAAGCCCGCAGGACACGGGTGGCTGGATGAGCAGAAGGAGTTGAGCACTGCACGCCTAGGATCGGCAATGTCGGCCGTGGCAGAGTTTTAGACTTGCAGGATTTGTTTCCACCTCCCGGGAAATGGTCACCCGCTTTGTACCTGCGAGCTGGCGTCAGCCAACCAGCTGATCACTGCCCTCTCTGGGGATTCATCGTGTAGAATCTCTGTAAGTGACATGGCCACCTTTTTGGACATTTCAAAACACGCTGGACATCACCATTTACAAAACCTACCACCTTCTTTCAGGGAAAATAGTTCTAATTTTAAAGATTTATTTAAAAAGCAGAACAGGGCCTGGCGCGGTGGCGCAAGTGGTTAAGGTCCTCGCCTTGCACACCCGGGATCCCATATGGGCGCCGGTTCTATCCCGGCAGCCCCGCTTCCCTTCCAGCTCCCTGCCTGTGGCCTGGGAAAGCAGTCCAGGACGGCCCAAGGCTTTGGGACCCTGCACCTGCGTGGGAGACCCGGAAGAGGCTCCTGGCTTCGGATCGGCATAGCATCAGCCGTTGCGCTCACTTGGGGAGTGAATCATCGGACGGAGGATCTTCTTCTCTGTCTCTCCTCCTCTGTGTATATCCGCCTTTCCAATAAAAATAAAATAAATCTTTTAAAAAAATAAATTAGGTGTTCGCAGTCACCGCCGCGCCGACGTCGCTCTCAACGCCAGCGCCGCCTCTCGCTCGCCGAGCTCCAGCCGAAGGAGAAGGGGGTAGGTGAGTAAGGAAGTACTTGCACCATGGCTCGTACAAAGCAGACTGCCCGCAAATCGACTGGTGGCAAGGCTCCCAGAAAACAACTGGCTACAAAAGCCGCTCGCAAAAGTGCGCCCTCTACTGGAGGGGTGAAGAAACCTCACCGTTACAGGCCTGGTACTGTGGCGCTCCGTGAAATTAGACGTTATCAGAAGTCCACTGAGCTTCTGATTCGCAAACTCCCCTTCCAGCGTCTGGTGCGAGAAATTGCTCAGGATTTCAAAACAGATCTGCGCTTCCAGAGTGCAGCTATTGGTGCTTTGCAGGAGGCAAGTGAGGCCTATCTGGTTGGCCTGTTTGAAGACACCAACCTGTGTGCTATCCATGCCAAACGTGTAACAATTATGCCAAAAGACATCCAGCTAGCACGCCGCATACGTGGAGAACGTGCTTAAGAATCCACTATGAGGAGAAACATTTCATTCTCAAAACAAATTTTTTTTTCCTCTTCTTACCTGTTATATTGGTAGCTCTGAACGTTTAGGGGTGTTTTTTTTGTTTGTTTGTTTTTGTTTTGTTTGGTTTTTTTGTTTGTTTTTTTTTGTTTGTTTTGTTTTTTTCCCCATGGGGTCAAAAGGTACCTAAGTATATGATTGCAAATGGAAAACTAGGGGACAGAAATCAGGTACTGGCAGTTTTTCCATTTTCATTTGTGTGTGGATTTTTAATATAAATGCGGGGACGTAAAGCATTAACGCAAGTCAAAATGTTTCAGTGAACAAGTTTCAGCAGTTCAACTTTATAACAATTATAAATAAACCTGTTAAATTTTTCTGGACAATGCCAGCATTTGGATTTTTTTAAAACAAGTAAATTTCTTATTGACGGCAAAAAAAAAAAAAAAAAAAAAAATTAAAAAAAATAAAAAGCAGAACAATGGACAGAAAAAGACAGAAATCTTTTGCTGGTCCACTCCCCAAATGCCTGCAGTGGCTGGGTCTGAGCCATGCTGAAGCCAGAAGCCAGGAAACAGGGACTCCACCAGGATCTCCTCTCTCTCTCTCTCAGTCCTGGGGCCCAAGGACAGGCAACCCTCTGCTACCTTCCCAGATGTGAACTGGAAGCAGTGCAGCTGGCCAGCACTTTAATACTGGTGTCTCCAGTCATGGCTTAAACATCATAGTTCCAGCCTTCAGGAAAAAAAAAAATTGAAAAGATAATCCAAACGTGTGCAATTGAAGTTAGAAGGCCAACATTGTGACATTACTATGCCGTAACCTGTAACACAGGCATTCATATAGGCACAGGTTCAAGTCCCAGCTGCTCCACTTCCCATCCAGATCCGAACTAAGGCACCTAAGAAGACGGCAGAAGATGGTCCAAGTGCTTGGGTCCCTGCACCCATATGGGAGACCTGGAAGAAGTTTCTGGGTTCTGGGTTCTGGCTGGCTCGGCACTGGCCATTGAGGCCATTCATGCTGTTTTCCAGCTAATGGAAAATTTCTCTAACACTGCGTTTCAAACAAATATATCTAAAAAGAAAGAGAGAAATTGGTTTACATATAAGTTACCCTTTTGCTACAGAGGTGGGAAAAGTCATATTTCAATTGGTGGCTCATTCATAGTATTTTTTTTTTTTTTACTTCCACAAAATGAGTTCTTTTTCATTCCATGGCTTCCTGTCTACCTGCACACACCAATGGGACAGCTTAGCTACATTCAGTCACCAGTTCCCAGGCTCTGCCTGGACTTCAGTGATCACCAGTTTGGGAGGAATAATTAGATGTTCCAGGTTCCATAAGTCCTATTTAGGTCTGTTTTCTGTTACTGAAACAAACTACTTAAAACCTGACCATTCTGGGCCCAGCATGGGAGCCTAGTGGCTAGAGTCCTCATCTTGCATGTGCTGGGATCCCATATGAGCATTAGTTCATATCCCAGTGGCTCCACTTCCCATCCAGATCCCTGTCTGTGGCCTGGGAAAGCAGTAGAGGATGGCCTAAAGTCTTGAGACCATGCACCCATGTGGGAGACCTGGAATAAACTCCTGGCTCCTGGCTTCGGATCAGCTCAGCTCTGGCCATTGTGGCCACATGAGAGTGAATGAGCAAATTGAAGATCTTTCTCTCTGCCTCTTCTTCTCCCTGTAAACCTGACTTTCAAAGCAAACAAACTAACAAACCCTGGCCATTGATAAAGAATAGAGCTGATCTAACTCATGAGGCTGGAGACCAGGAAACCAACAGCATGGCACCAGCATCCGCTCGGCACTGGAGAGGGCCTCCAGCTGCATCTTAACATGGCGGAGGACATCCTATGCTGAGACAGAGTGACCATGCAACAGAGGTTTCCCGTTGGTACCAAACCTACTGCCCATGACCCGTGAATCCCTTAGTGAGTGGATTAACTCACTCATGGACGTCCCTCCGACCTCCTCATCTCCTATGGGCTCTGCTCCCAAATATCACTAGCATATGATTTTGGAAATTAAGTTGCCAGAACAGAAACTTTTTTTAAAAAGTTTTGTTTTGTTTTAAAAAGCAGAGTTACAAAAACATCTTTATCTACTGGTTCACTCACCAAATGGCCACAATGGCTGGACTGGCCCAGGCCAAAGCCAGGTCTCCCTCATGGGATGCAGGGGCTCAAGCCCTTGGACCATCATCTGCTGCTTTTCTAGGTGTGTTAGCAGGGAGTTGAATTGAAAGTGGGTTTGCCAGGACTTCAGCCAACATCCATGTAGTGGCTTGACCTGGTGCCCACATCCCTGCCCTCACAAATTCTGGACCAGACAGTTAAGCCACAGCAGACTTCAGTCCTCTCCTTCAGGTTCATTGTCAAATCCTTTGCAAATTAGAAGACACTGTTTTTGGTCCCACATATTGAAACTATGATTGATGGCAAAGCTTTCTCCCACGGCAACAAAAATTGTCACTTTGTTGGCTCATGTTTAAAACAAATCATGTCTTCTGTTTCTGGAATATCAGAAATCTTACTTAGTGCTTTTGCAGGTTTTGAAGAAATGGAGAAGTAACCAAAAGCTTTAGCTACAGGGGCAAGCAGTGTGGTGCAATGGATTTTAACTCACCCCTTGCAATGCTGGCATCCCGCATTGGAGCCAGTTACAGTCCTGCTGCTCAGCTTCCAGTCCAGCTCCCTGCTAACGTGCAAACAAAATGGAAACAGCAAAAGAGAATCCAATTGCTCGACCCTCCGTCACCCATGTGAGAGACCCAGATGGAGTTCTGGGTTCTTAGCTTCCATTTGGGAAGTGAACCAGTAGATGGAAGATTCTCTCTTTCTCCCTGCTTTTCAAATAAATAAAATAAATCTTCTTGTTAAAAATCTTTAATCTTTGGGCCCAGAGCTGTGTGCCATGACCGTTTAAGCCTCCACAGGTGGCCACTTCGTGTCGTGGTTGCTCTACTTCAAATTCAGCTCCCTGCTAATGCACCTGGGAAAGCAGCGTGGATGGTCCAAGTGCTTGGGGCCGTGTATCCACATGGGAGACCTGGAAGAAGCTCCTCACTGCAAACTGTTCAGGCTCCAACCATGGCAGCCATCTGGGGACTGATCAGTGGATGGAAGACCTCCCTTTCTACATGTATATCCTTCTATCTCTATAACCCTGCCTTTCAATTAAAAACAAATCTTTAAAAAAAAAAAGTTTTCATCCTGCGAGCCTCATTTCACTGAGAAGCTAGCCCTATCCCCTGAGCAAGGTCTGGGGACAGGGTCTGGTGGCTATGTAGTGGCTAACATCTTTTCAACTTCTTTGAGAAGGAGTTCACACTCTGAATGGAATTTGCCAAAATTTTTACTTGCATGGTCTGCCAGACAGGCAGACAGATGAGCGAAGTCTCATTTGTATTTGGACGAGATATCAATGACATTGGTTTTCACCTGAAGCTTTATTAAAATCTTCACAGCATCAAAAAGGGAAGCAGAAAGTCTAATTTTTTTTTAAGATTTATTTTATTTTCATTACAAAGTCAGATATACAGAGAGGAGGAAAGACAAAGAGGAAGATCTTCCGTCCGATGATTCACTCCCCAAGTGACCGCAACAGCTGGTGCTGCGCTGATCCAAAGCCGGGGACCAGGTCTCCCACAAGGGTGCAGGGTCCCCGGCTTTGGGGTATCCTCGACTGCTTTCCCAGGCCACGGGCAGGGAGCTGGATGGGAAGTGGAGATGCCGGGATTCAAACCAGTGTCCATATGGGATCCCAGTGCGTTCAAGGAGAGGACTTTAGCCACTAGGCCACGCTGCCGGGCCCAGAAAGTCTGGGGTTTTTTTGTTTGTTTGTTTTTGTTTTGGTTTTTTTTTTGTTTTGTCTTGTTTTTTTCAAATCAAAGTACTCAACACAGCCCTTTCTATAAGAAAAAAGCCTGGCTGTATCAGATGGAGTCCGCAGCACGAGCTAAGCAGCGTGGCTGGCATAGGAGCCTCTCCTGTTGCTCCCCATCAGGGTGTGCCAGTTGCAGCCTTAGGATGAGGGAATGCAAGCCGGCTCGGTTTCATGGGACAAATGAAGGAGGGTTAAGCACAATCGTGCAAGTAGCCGTGTGTGACATGCACAAGCGACGGTTGTAGTGCCTATTTGTAATTGAGAATTGATATTTTTTGAAGGGGTTTGTGGGGGTGGGGAGAACAGGATCCTTTTGACTTACTGAAAGATCCCTGCCTTGCCTTGTTGGGGAGGCCTGAGATTGAGGGGCCCTGACACTGGCTCTCGTGTGCGCTCACCTTCCCTTCCCACAGGGCCCGATCCCAGACTCCTGTCTGCTGAGTATGCTTGTCCTGATTGGCTTCTTTCCTAACCCGATTACATGTGCCGTTAAAATCACACAGCTGTGTAACCCTCTAAGTGACCGTGTGGGTTGGGGCGTCCTGGGAGTGATGCACTCTAGAAAACACCAGTGCCGGGACCTGCGTTGTGATGTGGAACCACGGCTTGCCATGCCTGCTTCCTGCATCTAAGTACCAGCACAGGGCCAATTCAAGTTCTGGCTGCTCTGCTTCCAACTCAGCCTTCTGTGAAAGTGCCAGAGAATGCAGGGGCAGGTGAGGACCTGGGTGCCAGCTACCCATGTGGGAGACCAGGATAGGATTTCTGGTTGCTGGCTTTAGACTGTTCCATACCTGGCTACTGTATCCATTTGGGAAGTTCGCTCTCTCTCTCTCTCTGTCTCTCTCTCTCTGTCTCTGTCTCTGTTACTCAGCCTTCCAAATCGAGAAATCTTTAAAACAAACAAGCAAGCAAACATGGCTCCAGTATTCATCATGTTAAAATTCAACTAGCACCTTAGGGGCTTCCCCATGGCTCAACAGCCTTAAACCCTTCTTCTTTATGCACCGGCAGACCATTTAGGTGCTGGTTTGTGTCCTAGATGCTCCATTTCCAATACACTACCCTGCTTGTAGCCTAGGAAAGCACTGGAGGATGGTCCTAGTGCTAGGGTCATTGC